GAGGAGGCGGACCTAACGAGGCCTACGAATAATCCAAAGAGGACTGAATCATCACCGAACTAGACGGGTGCACAACACATCCCCTAAATTTTTTTAGAAATAAGCCACTTAAATATAATATTTTTTATGAGAGATAAGGTTTGAACCTTTGTTTCTCACCCCACCAACTAGGCGGTGGCCACCAGCGCAAAGGCTGGTGGTTGAATACTACTATTATTTGGGGGCCTCTGATATAAGTAAACATGAGGAACTGTTGTTTCAGATTAGGCTTTTCTTGTACTTACCTCATTGACCACTTGAGGGACAATGATTTGACATATGACAATACTTTGATCCCACGACAAGTTAAAATAAAAGAATTACTACTACACTAGATAGGTCCCGGGATAAGTGCTTTACGAATTTGCCCACTTCAATCGGCAACTTTGGATCTGCTGTTGACTATGAATGATGAGATGAAAAATGTGCCACGTCCTCCACAGTTTTCTTTTCTTCTCGGGCCAAATGCAAATATTTCAAGCTTCCAAGAACTTACCAAAACTGGAAAGTAAAAAAAAAAAGAAAAAAAACTAGAAATGAAAGTAAAAGGAGTTATACAAAGGGAGTGATTAGCAGAAATATTAAAGTGAAATTACATTAGAATCACGAGAGGTTTGTTATATAATTCCACAACCTCTTCTACGAATTATGAAACTACACAAATCTTTTGTTGAAGGTTTATTATTATGATTTGATTACTAAGAGCCATTGAATATCTCGTTATGTTTTATTTCAGAAACATAACTTCATCTTTTATTTATACAAATCCTCTCTTAGTCAAATGCACAGCTTTCTTTTCTATTCTTTTCTTTCTTACAGTTGATTTTTTTTTTTTTCAAATGAGCACTATGACTCAAATTTAGGCACTTCTAAGCCCCTCGGGTACTTTATAATTTAGGGAAAATTGCAGAAAACTCAGGGGCTGAGGTTTCTGATATTTGCACTCATCTCCTCTATAATTTAAGAAATAGCACTGGGATTTAAGAAATATAAATCTTCAATGGCTTATCAACCAAACCAAAATGAAAGCAAACAGGGATTATTGGTAAGCCATGCTAATGATTCACTCCTTTTATTTCGCTCTATTAAGTTGGCACCAATTTCCTTTTTGCATACCCAGTGCCAACTGATGGAAGTTTGCTCTAGTTAGATGACTCCTCGAGCCATCCATATTTATTTGGTCAAGTTGAAAGCTTTCACAAAGCTTCCTTCCTTCCTCTCAATTCTCATGCTTGTGTACACAAGTATCAAGACATAAGGAAGCTAATAAGACACTATCCTGAAGCTTTCTACCTACATTTAATCTCGTAATAGTGATCATGTGTTTTAGTGGTCTGAAAGCTTATCTAGGTAATGAGCCCAACCAGAGTTTTGCCCTCGCCCCAAACTGAGGACATAAAAATACAATTATTAACTTGTGAGCAAGAGACAGTTGGAAGGACACAGGACTACGAGAATTTGATTAGAAAATATGATACGTTTTCCGTTTCACTTTGGTAGGTTTGCTTTTTTTTTTTTCACACATTTTGAAAAAAGTTAGTTAACTTTATTGGAAGAATAAATCTACCTTCCTATCTTTTTAAAATATCCTTATATTAAATGAAGTATGACTAATTAGCTTTACATTAAATAAGTCAGGTTATACTCAATAATAACCTAAATTAAATAAGAATATTTTAGAGAAATTACAAGATAACTACATTTTTCAATTGAAAGGTAAACTATAATTTGCGACGGATGAAAAAAAAAAAAACGGAGTGTGGAACTAGGGAGTACTATATTGACCGTGCATAACAGCTCTTAGACCAATTATAGAAGTGCTCATAACTCAAAACAATGAATACATAATCAGGACGCCGCCCCCCTCTCGGAGCTCAGTTTATTAATAGCAACGAGTCTTACTTACCTTGTAATCATCCTAACACGATTTATCCTCTTCCAAGATCAACATGGAAGAAATCCAATCTTATTTAATGAGAAAATATTTGTTTCATGGCACATACTCTCAATTCTAAATATGTATTGTAGGCAAAGGAAGGGGCTCTGTTTTATTATTTCTTATAGTATATTGACACTCAGTCCCCATCATTTTTAGGCAGAAGCGTATCAGTTCTCCCAGTGGCTAGTTGGTAAAGGTTTAGATTCTTAAGGACATACTTCCACGTACAAGCATTGGCAGGGGTGTATCTACAATGGGAAAATTGGGGGTACGGGGCCTCTAGTACCTATACAATTTTGAGAAAATTTCAGTTTTGCTCCCACCAAGTATTTAGAAGTAAATATATTTAATGACTAATTATGAAATTTGATAGAAATGGAATATTAAATAACTCAAAAGCAAAGGCCTTCTACTTTTTTTTTTTTTTTTTTTCCAAACGATAGCAAGCAAAGGCCTTCTACTTGAGTTATGTAATTCCTTTGGAACTTGTAATAGTTTGTCGTTTGTTTGTTAGATGAATTGAGCGGATTAAAAAACATAGAATTGAGAACAGTGGCGGAACCAGAAAAAATTCTTAGTGGAGGCAAAAACAACACTAAAATTTTTTACCTACTCTTTTTCTAGTTTTTTAAGCAAAAAAAAAAAAAAATTCACCAACAAGTACAAATGATGCATATATTCCATGAAAAACATAAAAAGACAAATTCAAAATTATTAATGTAATAATAATTTTATTTCAAAAACAAACTAAACTATTTACAATTGCTCACTGCGAGTTTTTATATTTTGATAACTAACTTGGCTGTGGAAGTAAGAATGGCTCTCGATTGTAGAGGGAAAATGGGGGACTAGTGGAGGGAAGGGAAATTGGGAAGTGAGGACAAAGGAAGTGAATGATATGATTGGATGAATTGATCAAGAGAAAAAGTAGCTAGCTGCTTGGTTGTGGAAGGTAGTGGCTCTTGGTTGTGGGGGAAAAATGGGGGACCAAAGGAGGGAAGGGAAATTGGGAAGTGGGGTCCAAAAAAAATGAATGATATGATCGGTACTTGCTAGTTAAACTGAAAATGCTTTTTTTTTAGCTTATTTCAAATGGAATTTGTGTCCGTATCTTTTTAGAATTTTAGTTTATGAACTAAGTTAAAAAATTACGTAATTCTTTCACATCCTTTTTAAGAAAACTCTGGGGGCACACTTAAAATTATATCAAAATTATATAAGTATTATAGGAATTTAAGGGGGACAGTGGGGGCCTGTGCCCCATTGTCTCCACCTTAAATCTGCCCCTGATTAAGAAGTACATTATTTTGAAATTTGTAGAGCAAGAGTAGTTGTACTGCTTAGTTAAACAAAAAGCGGATAGTTTTTCAATAAGGGATAGAAGAATTTTTCCAATAAAACAATATGGTTATCTCTCACAAAATTATAGGTCAGTAATTTAGAAGGTTTTATTTTTTCAAAGAAAAATATTTTGTTATTAGTAAAGGCTTTTTTTTTTTTTTTTTTTTTTTTGTAGAAGTGTATCAAGAGTCTCTTCAATTATATCATCTTATCTTATATTATCCATGAATTAGATGAAATTTTTTATGTGAATATTATTATTTATGTCCTACTTTTGGAAAGACAAGAAAGAAATGATAATTTTGTTTGGGAAAAAATGCAGTTTTCATCCCTAATATTTAACCCCTGTGTGGTTTTAGTACTTAAAGTTTTGGCCAAAAAAAATGTGGTCCCTAATGTATCCAATTTAAAGCAAATCTAAGACGTTTGAAGATTTTTTTTTCAAATTACTAACAGAATTTGGTCATGTCTCATCATGTATCCGTTAAATTAATTTCAAAATAGAGAAACAAAATAGTAGCTAACTTTGAACCGAAAAAAAAGAACTAATAACTTACGTACTAACCAATTAACTAGTAAAAAGAAGGAAAATTTTTAAACTACAAAACTAAAACTAGTTGAAACACCTAATTCATTGATCCCAGAACTCATTTTAACTCTCTATCCCATTGCCCCTAAGCAAAACATTATAATACTTATTTTCATATAGATTAACAAACTTTCTTTTTTTTTTGTTTCTTGATTAGTTAGATACTAAGGTACCGTCATGTGAGTTATTCTATTGTTCAAATTTACTTGCTATTTTACTGCAGTTTTAAGAAGTTTAATTCAGTAAACATGTAATTATATGTGATTGATTCTGTCTATATTTGAAAAAATCCAACAGTTGTCCTAAATCTGCTTCATATTAGTAACATTGGGATCAGATTTGTTTTACTTTGAGGACTAAAATTGTACAAAGTACCAAAAAATTGGGGATTAGATTTATTTTTTGCCGAAAGTTTAGGGCAAAATTGCACAAGTGCCAAGCATTGAGAACCAAAAGTGCATTTCCCCCTTTTGTTTTGTCCCCACTGAAAAATTTTCAACGCTCCGCCACAGAGCATTGATAGTGAGAGCATATAACTAGACGTACCTTTCTTCTTCTTCCTTTTTTTTTTTTTTTTTTTTAAATTACTGTTTCTTTATTATCTTTGGTACAAAGGAACCGATTGTGGGAGAGGAACAAAGACGGTCAAGAGGTTCACAGCACTGCTAAACCTTGGATCTAACCATATTTCTTAAATTTTCAAAATGAACCGTTGCCTTTCAGTGAACTTGATGCTTTAACCGTCCGAGCAAAGGATATACTTCAAAGACAAGGGCTGAATTTGTCATAAAGAAAATCTGCACAAATTAACCCCAAAAAAATAATAAAATACTGTGCATCCTTGAACTGAAAAGTTGGAGGATTTGACAAAATTCCAAACACGAAATCCAAAATGAGACACCGGCTCTGTCCCAATGTTTTAAAAAATGTAAGCTTACATTGAGACGATAACAAACATTTTTAGTTTTTAGTCATTTGCCTGATTGAATCAGCCCCAGCACGGCATATTTGTACAAATGCTCCAGCAATCGCCTTATAGAACATACACAAGGCATTCGCTATATTCCAAGCGCTACAACTAGGAGATACAGATGAGAATAAACATGTCTTAAATGTTTATATCATTAAGAACAAAGAGATACATTCATGCAGTCATTTCGTTCTGGTAAATACATGAGCGACCTATAAAACATTCGATGAAAACACTTTCGGATCGCAAAACCGAGGTGAATTGTGCTATCTCAGGAAGGTGTTTGGATTGCAGATCCAAGTATGTTTGCGAGTAGAGACAAAAGCAAAAAATGCATACCTTACGAGTTACATCCTACTCCATTCAACTGCACCCTGAATTAATCCACAAACTAACACTAAAACAGCTTTAAAAAGTTCCTATAATAGCACATAAGGTAACAAATCAGAAGGAATCGCCGCTTCACCATCATAGATTGTAGTCAAACATGATGCAAATAAACAAAAATCCTAAGCTTTTCTGCAGCTTTTCGAAAGAATTAGCTGCATAAGCAAAATTACACGTCTTGATCTCTCCTCCGGCTGAACTCTGGGAAGGATTGAAGCTCCCTTAACTGCCACTTTGTCCCATTGTTATCTTTGGGCAAGTCTTCGCATACGTATGGCCCTTGTCCAGTATAATCTCAAATGACCTTATAGGTGCAATATACAGTTGAGATGCTAACCCATTGGATTCCCCATGCGGCCAAGCTAATAAATTCTTCACATTTTTTCCTCATCAAAGGAATTTCACTTGTTTCAGCCTTGAACAACCAGGGAAATGCACCGGCATAGCCGTATAATTCTCATGTATCCAGCTCTAAGGCTTTTGAAAGCATCTCTAATTTCACCTATGATAGGATCACCTGATGTATTATTCATCCCTTTAAATGCTGTTAACTGTGAAGGTAGGATATCTGATGGGTATACACCCCTGGATGAAATCATAAGACAAGTCAAAAGCCTGATTTGTGAAAAGACAGACCAAACATAACCATGATACATACATTTTAAATGACACGAAACAGTAACAAATAGCAGTGAGTCAAAATAAGGACGAAGTGTATTAGAAAAAATTATCCACGAACAAACATGTAGTGTATTGACCCAAATGTCGATCCTCAATCAAGAGTCATGACTTCCTAAAAGTCATATTTTTCTACACGCATATACTTGCATTCCAAAATTTACACATCTAATAGTCATCTCTTGTGAAACAGAGAAGATTCTTCTAGATCTAAATGAAAACATGAAGCATGGATGTGGTACCCTCTATGCTGCAGGTATCCATCTCAAGTAGAACCCCTTTCTTTTTTAGCGTGAAAGTGGGAGGTCTTCAACCTATGACCGCCTACTTACAATCCCTCCCCCCCATTTTACCACCCCACCCAACCCTCCCCTCCCCCGCCACCACATCTCAAGTAGAACCGTAAATACATGTTTGGCTGCACAGGAAGAACACAAGTTTGACTGCTCACACAAGATCAACCACATGTAAAGCATCCATGTATTACATGTCATGCAATTGCAGCATTAAAGAGTTAAAAATTCAACTCAAAACATGCATTTTGTCCAAAGACGTGACATTACAAAGAAAAAGAAAGCTGCATATACCAGTTTGTCACAGTAAAAATGTATAACCAGCCAGTCTGCTGTTGCTGAACTAAGCAAGACTAGCACTTCAAGTTATCATGGGGACAGAATTACTTTTGTCAGCACAAATCATGTTCATGGACTTATCTTGGAATTGGATATGCCAAAAGATGATCATGTTTAATGAACAAAAGGTTGTTTCAACTAATACAGGCACGAGTTAGTGACTAAATCGGTGGAGTAGAAAATGTTTCAGATCACTAAATTCCTTACTGTACGGATCATTTCTAATTTCTTCTGTTGGATAATTATAATGACTATTGTAAAGGTGGTGGACCATTGCAAGTTATGTGAAGCATAGTTACACATTTTTAGTCCAATAAATGACAGTAAAGCCAGTTTGTAAACCTGCCGAGGAACATCCCCATCAATATGCAATTCATACAATGAGTCCGAGAATATACACCTCTACAGCATTTACATATGTAATTTGTATAATGATTCCAGAAATATATTACAACGGTACAAACAGCACATAAGGACAGAGCAGGGTGAAGGAAAAAGGATATATTCCAAAAGCTAAGCTTAAGCATCATATGAATCAATAAATGGAAGCATGAAACCCATGATATAAAGCTCAGACCATTATAATGAGGTTACTGAAGCGTACCGATTCAAACTAGACATGTTAAATATCAAGGAAACTTTCTTTCCACTCTTAAAACTGAAGAAAGAAAGATGCAAATTCAGCTGCCCAACTGCAGGTCAAAAACCAACAACCAAATTTAGAGAGATGCAATTTCACAAAATTACAAGATCATCTAAAAGACTTGCATATATTATTAATCTCAGGTCAACAAGATAGCCTTAATTTTCATATACAGCACCAGGCAGGAACTAAAAACCAATTCACAGAAGATAAAAAGAACACATTTCCGAGTCATTCATATTAATCCCATTCCGAGAAGCAAGAATTTGTTGATGGCCATTCATTATGATTGGAAAAGATAAAGAGTACAATAACCTACACACTCGACACATATAAAAGTAAAAGCTGAGAATATGGAACCTTGTAACAAAATTGTGTGCTAAGAAAGTAAGAAAGACTACATGGACCTGTTCTAAGTCTTAATAGAGGCCCCATTTTGACCAATTGGTATCAGAAAAGAAAGCAGAATTGCTACTTAAAACTCTTCAAGTTCACAAACGAGAAATGCAAGAAGCAACCAATGTATATAGCAGTACATAGGATAAAATCTTTGACCCATGCAGTGACCGGCAAGCTGTCACTTTCTCATCAAGAAACTCATACCAATATCTCCTTTTCTGGTATTTTTTTTTTTTTTGACAAATACCCAAAGAACCCAACAAAATTCTGAAATCAATTCCACCAATTTTTTAAGCCAAACTCAATTATGTTTAGCTTAAATGACATATTCAAAGCTCTAATACCAAGATTACCATTACACTACAAATGGATCTAGCTCAATTTCTAGGCAAATGTACGACTCCAACATTTGTAATTTTTAACTTCTTAAAAAACATATGCTGTATTGAGATTTGAAATGGAAAAGGGCCATTTTCATTGAAAGTCCCAGGTCTTCTACAAAGAAATAGTGAGTAGTTACTCTAGCTCACAAACATACATGATGCATTAAGCTCAATAGGTAGACATCATGTCTAAGGTCATTAGGACTAATATCTAAAGTGTCGGCAAAATAAGGGTCAGTCAAAGCTTTGTAATCATCCATCCTTGATAGGTAAAGGATTTGTTTTCACTCTGAAAAAGTTCGGAAAATGAAGTCAAAGCTCAAACCCGGGACCTCTCACTTACACTCCCTCCCCCACAAAGTAATCAGAGCTTATATACAAACAAATAGCTGCCTACATATACAAACAAAAGTCAATCCTTCATTTGTCAAGATTTATATTCTTTGAGATCTGATCCAGTGACCCTACATAGCTGCCTAAAAATATTAGTGAATAGATTCCATTGAATAAGTTGATTTCGAAGTTATATCTCACATCATGACATGAGGATATCTCCGATCAGGCCACACAGTAATGTTGCATTGACTAACTTGCTATAATCTTTGCGGTACTTCATCAATCATTATATCTTTCCTATATGCTGAACTGCCCTTACCAAAGTTGAGAGTTCTTTCTGATTGAAACTATTTTGGACATTCCTTACAATTGAAGTCAAGCTTTAAATATTTCCCATCCTTAAAAAGATGAGCAGAAAACACTATACAAGACTAAGGGCCTATTCTCAACAGCTTAAAAAAAAAACTGTAAGAAACTTCACGGAAATTGAAAAGAAAAGGAACAAAATTTTGAAAACTTTAAGCTGTTGAGTACAAGCCCTAACTAAATAACTGAAGATTTTGCATTATGCCATTAGCTGACCCATCCTTGAAGCTTTTTCACGCATTTTGTATTTGGGAGAACCCTGTAAAATTTTGCCACTTTAGGATAAAAAATTATCTAGTAGCTCAAAGGTACATCAAGGTGAATGAGGGGGGAGCATTGGGTTGGGTGGTAAGGTGGGAGGGATTTTAAGTAGGAAGTCCTGGGTTCAAGACCTTCCACTTACCAAAAAGAAGGTGAATGAAACCACCAAAACCGCTCAAAAAAATCCTATACAAGTCATCCAGCAGAAGTAAAAGTCGATTAACATAAACGTATATATCACCAAATTCCAAATCCATCCACAGGCATCAAACCTCAAAAGGAAAGACTAATGTCATCACCCACATGCTCAAAAAAAACTTTTGAAATGCCCAAAAAAAAAAGAAGAATTTACAGTAGTACCTAATGGACAATGAAATGATATATCAGTCAGATTACGAAGTTCTATCTGAGCCATCTGCAGCTCCCGAACCACATCCACCAAATTACCAAGAAGTGAACTAGTTACCTACAAAACAGTTGTAAATCAGAATGCACTGTTGGAAAAATTATAGAGTTCTAGATGGAGTGAGATCCAGTCTAGAATGGATTAACTCAAGCAACATCGAGAATCTCAAGGATGTTTATTAAGTGTAACAGACGTTTAAGTCCAATATGAAATACATGCGCCCTATGGTGATTTAGTGATGACTAGATGTAATACAGATAGACATCACTTATTGGTTATTAATGTGATTTGTTGAAAACCAAAGACTTGAAACATGATAAGAATTCACATAGATCTGGATGAGAAGTTAACCGACATAAAAATGCTTTAAAATTGTTGGATTTGTAAACGAAAAGGTTATATTGTAGTTATGCTTAAAAGAAAACCTCTATTGACATAAACTTCATGCTTCTGGAACATGAAAAGTAAAAGGTCATTATCCTAAGTCATTTCATACAAACCTTCTCATTCACAAAATAATTACTTTTATATCTGTTTAAACACTTGAATCCCACATTATGAAGACCGTATCCCACTTCTTTGCTAACATACACAGGTAAATGATGGACATGCAAACTTTCTTGCAAGGTGCACAAAATTAATACTTACTTGTATTTCTTGTGCCAGACTTCTACAACCAAAATACTTCCGTGTGCTCTCAGCATTTAGGACAACTGAAAACGCTTTGCAAGCATCCATATTTGGGAAAATCTATTACGCAGAAAAAAGCAATAAAAAGGTATAACTTGAAAGGATGTAGAGCAGACAAGTTCTACAACATTGTCTTACCTTCCTAATTTTTGCATCATCCACTTTATTGGAGATGACAATGCTTTTCACTGTACCAACAGTAAGTTGCACCCTGCAATTATCCACCATACAAGAACTCATCATACTAGAACATGAAGAGACAAAGCAGAACGTCTCATTTATTCCTTTTCCTTTGGTACCAACCAACCTCTGAATGATTAGATCAAGGTAGTTGAGAGCAATATCATGATGCCCACTCTTACTCTGCACATCATCAACAACCCACATCTGACAAATGAACAAAAAGGTTATCTCACTATCATAGATAAGATTACACCATAAATTGATGATAATGCTGAAGAAGATTGGAGACCTGCATGTCTTGACGAATAAACCTATGACGTGATTCCTTCATCAAATGATCATTAACTAAACTAACACTGTCAACACAGCTAAGTTCTCCCTTAATCTTACAAGAACTCTGAAGTGCTTTGGTAAACTTAGCTTTCTTTCTATCCAATGATTCTAAAGCCTGCTTGATTGCTGCCACTTTTTCACATGTCACCTGGCATTAAACATTAAAGCTGCCCCTCAACATACAAGAAAATATTGGAACAAGGAGTAAAAACTGAACAAGAACAAAATAACTAACCAAATCAACAAAAAGATAAATCATACTCACCCAAAAAAAGAACACTATTTGCCTCAACAAGTATACGATTGTCATCACAAATATGAAGCAATCTTACAAACTTCGAAAAGGTCAGAAGAAATTTCTCAACACCACTTTTAATACCTAAACTTTTGGCCTTCATAATACATATCACCGGCCAAGCCACTTATGGTACCTCAACATCCAACTTTCAGATAAAGGCAACATCCAACAAACACATCAAATTAAGCATGACTACATAAGTTTTATGAAGTTTAATTGAATTAGGAGAGGTTACACATCAATAACTAAGCAACTTTCATGTAGTAAGGGAAAGAAACATAATAGCATTTCCAAACTAGGTAGAGAGGGAATCAGCAAAACTACATCTTGTACGATTTCTATATCATAGTTTCAAAAGGCTAATTTATGTAAATTGTATTACAAACAGATAGATAAGGATTTACAGTTCTAGATCATAAACAGTATGTCAAGATCAACTATAAACTTGCTTCAACTACAAAAAGGGCTAAAAACAGTTTCAAATCTTTAGTTACAACCAGCAGAATAAACTTATGGATGACTTGAGGTAAATGAGAACATTTATTGAAAGATACTATCACACAATCTAAAAAATAGTTGACTATTTCAATGCTAAGAGAGAGCTACATCATATTGAAGAAGTGTCTGATTACTTGTCTAGCACTCTACCAAGATAAACAAGGGCATCACAGAAATTCTATAACAACATGCACATGGTGGACAATATATATTTAGAACCTATGTAGGAGTCTGGTGTGGTTAGAGGTATTGCTTCTCAGGTATAGTACTTTTTGGTGTGTTTGGTAATATCTCATGAATACTAAGTTGTTTTAGTTATCTTAGTCAAGGGAAGTGAAGCTACTCGCTTTGACTCAACAGCATTCTTTCAAGCTTGAGCTGCTCAACTAGCCAATCAACTTGAGCATGAGCTGAAAATTACTAGGCTCAGAAGCTCGCAAGCCCTATTGAGCTTCAATATTTATATGGTTTGGAAAGTCCTTGTAGTAAAACCCTAAAAACTCTAGTCTATCTATTTCTTGGCTGCCTCTAGTCCCATGTTTATCTACTAGAATATCCAACCAAACAGAAAAACTAAACATTACCAGTCTACAACTTCCATACTCATTTTATCTGACCTTTTTTCTGCTTTTGATTTTTTTCCTTCACTTTGATATTATCGATGCATAGATCTAATTGTTCCAAAGTATTAACAAGTAATTCATTGCTTTAGTGGGACAATGTGTGAGTATTTTGATCTTTTTTTTTTAAAAAAGTTGTGAGGTTCCTGTTGATTTTTTCAATCTATTGTGAATCAATAAGTTTTGTTCATTTCTTTAATGGGATGGATGAACTTTTCTTTTCTTTTTTTTTTGGGGGGGAAATTGGTTGCTTGAGTTCACGCTCAAATTCAAATTCCTAACCAAGTACTTGCCCAGCTCGAGGTCCAGTTTGTGTACACCTATTTGGAGTAGAGTAAAGCTTGAAAATGGTGGTTCTTGAGCATGACTCAGTTCAAATGCATCCCCACTTCTGATGAGGCTTAATTTACAAATTTTTAATTATTTGACTTGAAAAGCACTTCACCTAAAGCAACAGTGCTCCATAGTGGCCTTTTAAAATGCTCAGTCCAATACACAAGAAGAAATTAATAAGGCACCATAAATCCCCAAATCTCATTTTCCTTCTTCTCAAAATCCCACAACGTTCTAGCTCCACTAAAACAAATTCCAAGTGGTGAATGGGAGTGCCAAGCTTGGAAATAGAAGCTATCTCTATTACTGATACTCTTCCCCCCCTGAGCCATACCCTTCTCGAACATGACACGACACAACACTGGTACTCGTATGGGGTCCGGATCCAACACTTCATTTGAAGTTTTGGACACCTCAAGTTAATGAAAACAAGAAGAAAAACAAGTTAATGTATCATGGTTGAAACCAGCCTGAGTGCACGAGTAAGACTTCGATTCTAATTATGATGCCTATTTACTTCCTTCTCTTATATGTTTTTTCCCCCGTGCAACACTAACAAATAATTAACACACGTGTACATACAAATGAAAGCATATATTTCCCTCTTAAACATAAGATATGGAAAAAATTTTAAGTAATATTTTCTATATATGTTACTTACAAATGAGGATACAGGACACACTTCATACAGTGTCCAAGTCTTTTAGAGGTGTTGCCGTATGTTAGTTTTAGAACATTAACAAATCTTTCACCTAGACACATGTATCTGACATCCATACTCAAGCTGAAATAACATGCAAAGCTCTTTATCCAACATACCAGACACTGATATTAGTTATTCTAAACCCCAAAGTGGAGGACCAGTTGGCTATAAGTTTGAAAGTACAACCAAAGCCGAAGGCTGTGCCCAACAAATGCATCAGTAAAGTTATTCCAGCTGCATCCATATTTTACTGAACAAGAGCCTAAATTTATGTTTCCTCAATGTAGCTGGAAAATCTTACAGTATTGGACCTTTATGGGTCTATCATCCCCATCGATTATTTTTTCTCAAAATATGTAGTTGAATTGCTATTACGTGGGAAAGTCCAATATAAAACAACCATGTTAATTTCTGTGGGGCTCTTGCTAGCCTTCAAATAAGAAAACCAGTCATAAATTTTTTCAGAAGGGATAGGACAAAAAGAGGAGAAGAATGGGATAGTCAGAACAAAGAATCATTCTAAGACATGGTAATAATGTCCTAAGTCCCTCAGGGATAACCAATTCACATCTCATCTGTGTACAATGGAAATTTTGATAAAATAATCAAATGAAGAACAGGCCTTTACATGGATACAAAGACATACTTTCTGAGACATTAAACTATAAATAAATGAGAAACAGGCCATCCAACCAGTCCAATTGAATCACTTATTCTGACCCAATCTACAAGTAACACATAAGGGGGAAAAATGGCTATAACTACTGTGTGAAGATGAGCATCTTAAATATAATTCAATGCCAGACAGCAATGTCCATTCTAACAAAACTTTCTTCTCAAAAGCAAACTGAAGTGTATGAAAGTTATTAAGTATCAAAGCCTTTTCAAAAAGCATCCTTGAGGGAAGAACCATCCTTAAAGAACACATGTATGGAAGCATGGCTAACGTCCCATTACTTCCAAATAATCCACTCTACCAACTGACATAAACTATCATAAGCCAAAGAAAGGCTGTAACCCAAGCTTAATTTAAATATTACCTCATCCCTCTGCTTCACATGAACAAAATTTTGAAGGCCAAGGATGTCAGCTTGGGCACCTCTCCTCAACTGGGACAAAAAATTTTGTTTCAACATTTGAGACTCCTGATTTCCCTGGCTCAATTTTTGTAACTTTCCCTGCAGATGAGGTGGATTGGCTAATACACGTTCATTGAAAACCCAGAAAGAAGATGAAAAGGTGAAACTTACCAATAACCTCTGCTGCTTAGCACGCATGAGCTGTAGTTTTGACCTTTCATGCAGGATTTGATGCAATAACATTCTTGTTCCACCAGCTCTACATTATACGTTGGGAATCAACACTCAAACATATTAGAGACCATGAGATCCTTGATGCAGATGGCAGAAAATCAGCACGTCCTCCTTAAAATTAAGTAGGACGGTCAAATTTACCTTTCAGTTTGCTGGTCAAGACGAACAGATGTTTTCTGAACAAAAGTTGTCAGCCAGAAGATACATTAAAGAGCATCTAAATGGTCCAAAAAGTTCAATGCTTAATCACACCGATATGTTTTTTCTTTGTTTTCCTTGCATAATTAAGTATACAAATCAGCCAACAGACCTGAGTAAAGATTCCAGTGCCAACCATCTCGTACATCTTTAACTTCTTCAATTGAAACAAAAACCCTTCCAGCAAATCAATCTATATACAATACGGATAATCATTAACAAAGCATGGACAAGGACATGGAATCAAGAATGAAGATATATAGATTGACAGTCAACCTGAGAAACCAAAATTATGTGTGTAAGACCATAATCAGCCAGATGTATGAAAGACTCGTATAGCAAAAAGGGGAGTTCAATTACCACTGAAAGATTAAGCTTATCCTTGGAAAGCGTGAACAATCGTTCTGCATCATGTGAAAATTTTGAATATATCTGCGATGCACAATATAAGCAATGATGTGCTGCAGGCTAGTCAAATAAGAGGGAAAATAATGCCAGAAAAGTTTACATACATCAGTCCAATGCTTTGATGCTTCAACAGATCTTTCTCCAAAATTTTCACTAGTATATCCACGCATTTCCACATCTTTACACCCCACTTTCAGAAGTTTTGGACTCCTCAGCTCTGGAGCCACTTCATTTCTATGTTGTCTATCCTCAAAGTCAATTACTCTATTCCTTCTTTTAAGAGAAGATTTCATTTGATTGGATGTGGGAAACAAAACATCTTCCACAGGATGCTCACATGTATTATCCCTCCCCACTATCTCGAACGCCTTCCTTGCAGGACTTGGCGTCAATGAGTCCAACAAATTCTGACACATAATATTTTGAGCTTTAGAATGACGAGAACTGCAATTGCTACTTAAAACAGTCTTAGTGAGTTCACTGAGGAGCAGTGAATACATCTCAAGAAAAATTTATTTTCGTGACACAACAATAAAGGTGTACAAACTTGAAATGCACTGATTGAGACATGAAACCTCCAAAATCTTGCACATTTAAACGGGCATAATGAAGTAATACAAGTCAAGAAGAAAGTTTGAATAGGAGAAGGAATATGGATAACAAGAAAAACACTTACCTTTGGAAATGTTAACTCCTTCAAATTCCTCCAAACAGATGGCACCGAAGAGACATTAGAAACATCTTCTGGTTCACCCCCATGTAGCTCACTTGAAGACCTGGAGAGACCAATGCCAAATTGGAGATTTCCATCCAGTTCCCTATTATGAAGAAACTGGGATCTTTCGGTCACTCCAGTACCTACATTCCCATCATCATCATTACCATTTTTGGCAACTGTTGAGTTAACTTCAATTAGATTGGAAATGCAGACTGCAGAAGCAGGTGAGCTAGGATGAACTTCCCTCCCAATCGAGAAATAACCTGATCTGCCAAGAGGTTCAGTAAAAAGATTTTCATCAAGAGCACTTCCTTGTAGAGATAAGTTTCGACCTGGGGAAAAGTTTTTAAGTTTGACAAATCGATCATGCAGCACTAAATCTTTAGATAGCTTCAGAAGTTCTGGCGACGCTGTCAACTTCTTTTGTACCCCTTTATCTGGACAAGGAACAGATATTTGAGGTGTACCAGTTAAATTCTTCGCTCGAATATAATCAAGAGTGGTCTCAGCTGAAGAAGAATCAATTCCAGCGGTTACAAGTACATCATCATTTGGATCTTTTGACCTGAATAAATCATGCTCCATCTCCTTTCCAGGACAAATTAGCTGAGAGGGTGAAATAGCAACTACATTAACTTCTTCAGTTTGAGGCATATTTCCTCCACCTGAATCCTCGATTTGATTATTTTTTATGTTAAAATTACTTACTTGTGCCCCTTCCCCAAGAGAATCCCTTAAGAGTTGGCTCTCAGTGTCTGTGGAAGATGCAGACAATTCCTTCATCTGAAAATTATTCATCTCTTTCTCTGAAAGGATGTTGAAAGGATAAGAATCTGTAATATTATGTGGCTTAATATTTCGTTTTTCAGCTCCAAGAAAAGCGAAGGGAGAAGCTTCAAGTAATCTTAGCTTGGAAATGCTTTTCTGGATGGATGATGTACTATCTTGTTTTATGATTTCAGTACCTCGAAAAGAACTTCTTTCTTCTTGAGGAGTCAGTGCTGACATACTTTTGAGTGGTGAAGCACAACTTGTAAGTGCTTCTCTTCGTTTGGCAGGCGAAGATATGAAATCAACCAAAGGAGATTCATTTTGAATATGCCCATCTGCTTGACCAAGTTTATCATCCATTACTGGTCGAAAAGTTCTCTCTTTAATTAACTTGTTTGGGGAAAATTTTGTTTTATCAATCAAAATATCCGAAGCTGGTGTTGCATGAGCAACAGGAGAGATTGGTAACCTACTATTTGCTTCACCTGCTCCTTTAGAAACCGCCTTTCCATTCTTAGTTACATCCACAAAGATATCCCCATTCTCTCTTTCTGGGAAAAACTTACTTCCATAGTTACCACGTGACCCTGAAACAACATCAATGTCAGAGTCAGAAATCATATTCAAATTCTTGCTTCCTTCTCCCAAAAGAGCATCCAATGCAGGTGAAAGTCTCCCATAATCGTAGCTAGCAGGGCTCCCGCCAACAAGACTCATATCACTTGAACTGCTACTACCACCACCTTCATTCACAATAGGCGAGGAAGACAGGGAAATTAACTTTTTGGGCACTGTAATTTCCATTGAACTTCCTATGTTAGTCTGCGTTGGTGTCTTCTCCTCAAAGGATAAGTGAGATTCTGTGGGTGTCTTTAAGTCAATTCCTGAATCTGACCTAGCCAAGCTCCGGAAATGCATGGAGAATGCAGTTGAATCCATGGTAACATCATGATTGAGATCTGAAGCTCCAGAGTCTGATAAACGGTCAGGCCTTATAAAACTGGCGGAAACAGGACCAAAAAAATTATCTTCTGCACAAACATTCAAAAATCTGTAAATAGATCAACTTAGTAGAAAGTGAAACAAACTTTGCAAAGAGAAAGACAGCATAAATCACATAGCTAGAAATCTAGAAATAAAGACACTCCTGGGAGGTTTACATATTTAAAACATGCTGAAACACATCCAACATTCATGACCATTCAAAAATAAAAGCACATTTCTGTAAACCGAAGACATGTTATGGATAAAAAAGTAAGGGGCACAAAGCCTTCAATACAACTGTAAAATTGAACCTAAGGTGTACCTAGGACTAAATGCAAGGACATATCTAGTCAAAACCCACTTCAAAGCATTTCCAAAGGTACAGATTATTCAACTGTTTCAAAACTTTTAGCTGTCTCAGCTGACTAAGCATTAGTTTCCTTTTCCAATATATGATCACAAGTCTGTCTCATCATGTTGTGGGTTAGGAAGGCTAACAACATTAAAATTCAATTTGGATTTGTATTCTTATTTTGTTTCTGTAAAAGTCATGTAGCATGTCTTCTTCCCCAACTATTAACAGCTCCTTAAAATGTTGTGACATATAGTCCTCTCAAACTAATACGAATTGTTTAGGTGAAAATGCATGTATACAAACATATATATGTCCCTGAATGCTCCTACTTGGACACCCTCTGATTAATACATAACATGTACTACCTTGTTCACATCTCCATGAAGTGTTTTATCTATGACCATAGTCCACATGTATACTTCTTATAATAGGAATAAAACATAAAGTAGAACAATCTCATAATACTTCAAAAATTATGAACACGCTGCCATTCCCTCAAGAAACAAAATGAAGGAAATGATGCTTGTAGGAAGCTAATGTCCAAGCATGGAAGAATCCAGAGGAATGATTATTAGCATCACAACCAAAGATTTCTTGGTCAAGATACCTACAATATTCCAAATCGACATTTCTTGTGGTAATTGCGAGTACTAGCTTCCTCTTGATGGTAGCTAGGCTGTTCTTAAGTAAATTATCTATCTTTTAATTCTATATAACACAATCACAGAACCAAGTCAGTTGCATCATCATTAGAGGATTATCAGCAAATAGGAGTAAATTGGTGAAACATGATGTTCAAACTGCGGCAGCAAAGAAATACAAAAGAAATTTTTAATTATCATCAATATGGTAGTGCTGACAGAACTGCAAAATTCTTAATCTCCAGATTCACTTCATGAATATTTGGAACTGGAATTCACTCATTTAAGTGTATCCATGTACATAGAAAAATTCAGGTTCCCTTTAATAACCACTCAGAGTCTACAAAGGAACTAGTGATCCATTTTATGCAATACATGAAACAGACCATTTCTTTATTTTTCATTTAAAAAAACAAATACCTGCTTGTTATACTTTACAGATTGATAACAAAATAACACTAAACCCATTTGGTAGACTTCTCTTTTAGCATTTAGCTACAAGAAGCGACAATAGTTGCTCAAACTATGGTTTTGCCCACCTACAACCAAGCCATGTCAATTAATTCCATCAACCAAGCAATCCCAATTAAGGGTGTCAAGAAGGGAACCAAAAACATGGAGAACTGTTTTTAATGAAGCAACCAACGTTTCAGACCCTTCAACATTTAGTTTGAAAATAGAAGAGCTACTAAGCCGCAATATCCAACTAAATTGATGCAGTAATGGACTAAAGGAATTGCTGTCTTGTTTCTTATGATGCAGTAATGGACTAAAGGAATTGCTGTCTTGTTTCTTAGACATACTTTCTAATTCCATTAACAAGCTTTGGAAGAGGAAAGAAGTGCATGGGAGGCAGTGGCTGCTGTCTGCTGGAGTGGATAAGAGGCAGGTGGTGGGAAGAAGCAAGGTGCCAAAAGTTGAGGGCGGCAGAATTTCCTGATTACACAAAAAGAGAGAGAACAGCAAGGTTTTTATTATGTCTTAGGTTTTTCTAATGGTTTAGGAGAACAATATAGTAAGAATTGAACCATAAACCTCGTTCCACTCTTCCAGAGCCATAGAGTTTTTTCATTTTTAACTAAGTTAAACAAGTTTTCTTGCTCAAAGAATTGGGCACAAATACGGAATGCAAAACACAAAATAAACGAAATTACCAAAATGCAGTTCATTGGTAGTTTTAAGAAAATCCAGAAACATAAACTGCAACTCCAGCATAATGAAATGGACCTCAGCTTTTCAACTCCATATACAGGTCTTATTCAGGTTGCAGCTAATTGAAAATTTTCACAATCTAAACTGAACTTCCCAAACATAATAATAGTAAAAAACAAATAGAAAAACTTAATCACAAATAAAACTAAAAAGAAAAATAAAAAAAATCTGGAAACTCCACATTCATTCAGAAATACACATAATTTACAACTATAGCAAAAAGGTGTAAAAAAAAGGGAAAAAGAAGGAACTTGCCGTCATTGGAGGTGGCCGAACCAAAACCACTTTCTGAAGAAGGCGATTCAACCGGCCTCAAAAACGACCTACGCATATCAACACGCTCCTCATCATCACTCTGCCGGTCTCCATCTTCTCTATCTTCTTCACCGCCGCCTTTTGATTTCACCAGTTGACGGAACCCTAGGAGCTCAATTATCTCTTCACTATCATTATTATTACCAACCTTGCTAGCCGATTCTTCCAGTGCCTCCGGCGTCTCATTTTCGTCGTCATCGCGGTCAAAGAATCGCACTGAGGTATTTTCCGCAAAGCTCACCCTTCTCAGCCGTTTCTTCTGCAGAGCCACGGTGGTTCCTCCTTCTGAGTTCCCCGTGGCTTCACCATCGCCGCCGGCGATAGCAGTGGGTTCGCCGGACTTTGCCGACATGGCCTGAAATTGAAGTTCAATTCGTAGAGCTTCTTTTTGAACTGTTCAGATTTCAATTTCTAAGGTTGGGAATGAAGCTGGAGAGAGGGAAATGAATGACTGGTTTTGTGCGGGAAAGCCTTTTTGAGCTTTCCACTTTTTCAATTAAATGTCTAAATTCCAATTTGACCCCTATAGTTTGATGATATTATTGTCGTTGTTTCAACTTTCAAAGGCAATTAAACTGTGGTGGAAAATTTTCAATTAGACAGAAAATTTTCAATAAGGAGAGGTTAGAGGTGAACATGTTTTTTACTTTCTCACCATGAAAAGATATAATCAACAATGAGTGAATCTTTCTAATGTTTACCTAGATATATAACTAAAATTTTTTTATATGTATGGGAACACAAAAAATCAACATTGAGAGAGTATCGATGTGAAATTGAGTTGAACATTGTTCTTGAATTCCCTTTCATGTAAGATGTGAAAATAATCTAGTTTACAACTTATTAATTCATTATCATCTCCTATCATGTCATATTTGACATTTGATTTAAACACATGGCAAAGTGCACCATTCGCTATTAATATTTTTTTCAATTTTATTTTGTACACTATACCATTTTTTAGGGTGTGTTTGGTTCCCACAGAATTGGAGGCTTAGAATTAGAATTGGAGCATCAATTCCAAATCTTCGGTTTGGATGCTATCTATGTGAGAGAATTAGAATTCAATTTGAATTCTATGAGCCATCAATTCCACAAATTCAATTCTTTGGTAAGACCTAAGAATTACAATTCCAATTCCATAATTTCACCTCCTATTCGGGTTAGTACGCGGATCCTAATGGGTAAAAAATTAAAATCGGGTCAACTATGTAAGCAGCCTCTCTCGCGATCTAATTAGTCACTTTTCCTCAACCGCAAGTGCTTTTGCTCTGCGTCCTCCCCTTCACCTCCACCCTAACATTTTGCCTCTTCCACCACCGTTTCCGGCATCGCTCTGCCACGCATTTACCCATCACCTCAGCAATCGCAAGACTGCTCCGAGTGCTCTCTACTTACCCGTGCCTAATTTTCTCGAACTGGGTTATTAGTTCGGAAGGTAACAACTAAAAGCTCTCCTTTGCCTTCGATTTTTAACTTTGCAGCATTGAATATTGAATTCTGAATTTCTTTGACTGGCAAAATCTTTGTACAAGAGAGTGATTTGATGTGTTTCTTCAAGAGAGTTTGGTTAATTAATAGGGAATTGGACATCTTAGGGATTTTCAGGGGCAACAGGGAGAGTGAAGTAAGAGGAGTGGATATGTCAGCTTTAAGGATTTGGTTGGGATTTTCAACATTATTCAGCCTAATATATATTGTTATTGCATTTGCACTAGCTCTTAAAGACGGTATGATTTTGTTCCTTTCTTGCAGTTCTTATCGTGTTGTGAGCTGTTCATTGAAACTACTGTCCTTTCAGTTTCCTTTAGATCAAATTGATGTGCTTTTAAACTGCTAATCTGATTTTAAGTTTTTCATTCATCCAGTTCATGTTCTTTTCCACTTTTTGAAATGCACTGACCTTGTTTGTGGGGTTGAATTTTATAATGATACTTGAGAATGAGGTATTATTTCCATGTATTGGGATATGTTAAAATGTAGTTTGCCGGATCAAATTTGTATTGGGGTACATGAGTTGTAATTAATATCATATATTGATTCATATTACAATTATTTGCGTTCTCAATGTTTTTTTTTTTTAAGATCTGTCAGATTGTTTAGAACACTTTAACAAGTATTAGTTTTCTCATAGACTTGTACATAAACACAGAGAATGCAGATTACACCCTTTTTCTTTTGTTTTATTGTTAGGAGTACTATTTTTTTACTCCGTTGCTAAAAAGATAAACAAACATAAAGTTCCAACTCCCCTACCCACAGAAAAGAAGAAAAAGTCACCCCATAATTCCACTCACATGGTTATAGCTAACGGCTTCAGATCATCTTTTATCTATTGACATTTGGGTTTTACTTGGTTCTAGTTTGCATGTAGCTATTTGGTGTAGTTACTAGGTATCCTAACAGAATTTAAGTACATTGACTTCTGATCTTTGAAATAACTTGCCATATCTGTTGGCACTGAATGAAATTTTCTTCATTTAACATATGTATGAATTTTTCAGGTGCATATTTGCCTTTCATTTTTAGTTCTATAATGCAGTAGCTATTAAATATGTTCTTAAGAACATGACATTGTGATGTTTTTCTGGTGCATATCTGCCTCAGATATGGCATCTGAAGCAACATCTCAGTCAAAAGGGAAAGGCAAAGGGTATTTCACTTGGACTCCTGAAATGGATCGTGTAATGGGCACTTGTTTTATTGACCAAATGAACCAAGGAAACAAATTGGATGGTAAATGTGCATGGAAAACAGTAGCCTACACTGCAGTAATGAATGCTTTATTCGATAAACTCAATATATCTGTGACAAAGGCTAATATTATATCTCGTTTCAAGACATGGGAGAAACACTATGACATCTTATACCCACTGCTCCAGTCCTGTAACTCTGGGTCTACGATAATATGGGACTACTCTAGAGGTAGAATTGATGTTCGTGATGAGGATGTATGGAATGCTCGAGTAAGTGAGAATCCAAAAATTCTTCCTTACAGAAAAAAAATTGTGGTTGAAAATTGGGAGGACATCTGTACACTGTTTTCACAAGATCGTGCAAATGGAGAGGGTGCCCAAACTGTTTTTGAGGCTAATACTGAAGCTGAAGTTGAAGAGTCTGCTAATGTAGAGGAATCATTTGAGACTGATTCACGATCTTTAGAAGATGAAGTTATGAATGCACTGCTAGCTCGACAACGGTCAAAATCAAAAGCTTCATCTTCAACAAATGATCGTGGCACAAAGAGAAAACTAACTAGCTCTCAAGTACTTTACAAAGTGTTGGGACGAATGGCAGATTCACTGGATAAGTACTTAAATTCAGAATGCTCAAAAGTTACAACTAAAATGGTGGAAAACGAGTTATCTAAAATTGAATTGGATAGATTTCAATTTTTGAAGGGTATTGATTTACTTATGAATGACAGGACAAAGTATGACACTTTTTCTGGTCTCCAAGATGACTTAAAAAAGGATTGGCTATTGATGCACATTGGTAATTGATTTTTTTTTTGGTAATCTCCAGTTGAAGTTGTTTTTGTAGAAAAAGTTGAGCTGATTGCTGGAAGCCCAAGTAGAGCAAGTAGAAGTTGTTACTACTCCATTGTGTATCCATGACTTTTTAAATTCTGATGAGTTCTTTGTTTTTTATGTAATGGATCAAAACAAGATTATAGAAAGATTCTAGGGAGTATTTCAGCTATTTTCTATCTGCTTTTGAGATGATAAGAATGGAACATTGGATCTTTTGTCTGATGAACTAGCATTTTAGATATTGAGATTAACATAGCTGCCTGTGTTGATGCCCTGACTTGTCCTTTAGCTGCATGAACCTTTGCATTCTTTCTCAAATAGTACGTTTGTAAAACAATTGACAAGGTGGATGTTTGAACTTTGAATGAGTATATGTGGATGTGGCGTGCCTCTAAGTGCTGCACTGCCCTACATGAAGAGGAGGTGTAGTGCACTGCTGGACTGCAGAAATAGCAGCAGTAGTAAGTATGCATATGAGTACCAACACGTATTGAAAGGGTGATAAAATAAGCTTTGCAGTGCTTCGTCTTTTTCATGCAGTCAATGGCTCCTTTACTAGCCATTGGATCCTTATTTTTTTGAATTACTGCTGCAGTCTGCAATAAAAAAAATGGTGTCCAGTATAAGTCAGGCATGTTGGATTTTTTTTTTTTTTGGTCCTTCCACCTTTCTCCACACCCTTTTCCACCATCAACTGTTAGATTCAGAATTCGAATAGTAAACTGAATTTATTTGTTGAGAATGTTAATTAAATTGTTTTACAAACGTACTATTTGAGTTAATTTGTGACTAATTCACTGTCCAGTATTCTACCATGTTTTAAGAAATATGCTAGTGTCATTGGGGATTTACTTTTAAGGGGGTGAGGTCCAGTTTTGGTTGGATGCCAATATCTATACCATACGTTGAACAAAAGAAGGCAGTCAGATTGACACGTCTCGTTAATGCTGTGCTTGGCACAACCTAAGTCTGGAAATGTTCACCAAAGAAATTGACATAAGAGTGGGAAAAAATAAATTATTAATGGCACAAATTGGTTTTTACTTTTAAATCTTTAGTAAAAATTAGCTAAATGTAAGAAAAAAAGAAATTATTATATAAAAAAAGAAAAAAAAAGAAAAATTTTATGTAAGCAAATGTTTCATGAAAACAATTCTAATTCGTAATGAATTCTTCTCTCATGCAAACAAAGGATTTGGAATTCCAAATAAATTCTGTATTAATTCCATGCATTTCCCAAACGAAAGAATTGGAATGACTTGGAATTCCAATTCATAGAATTCCAATTCTATAGAATTTCAATTCTAATTCAATTCTAATTCTGTAGAACCAAACGTACTTAAAAGTATTCAATTGGGCCATTTTATTTATTTTCTTGGTTCAAAGTGATGGAGTTTAATGTACATGAGCGGCACATTATATTTATAGGGGTATTTTTGTTACATTGCCTTTAAAAAATGGTAAAGTGGGTAAAATGAAATTTTAGAAAAGTTTAGAGACTATTGATGCACTTCTTGGAAATTTTTTTTTTAAATTAAAGAAGAGTTAAAACATAAAGAAATTTCTTAACAAGAAGTTATAACATAAGGAATCATAGTATTCCTAAATCATTGGAAAAAATATAAAAGTATTTTAGCAAAAAGAATGACTTGAATAATAAAAAATTCAAAAAAAAAGAGGAGAAAAATTACGATCCTTTAGATACCATTTGGATTGAAGAAAAGGGGATGGAAAGGAAAGGGAAAAAGCGAACTCTAGTAGAGAGAAAAGAACATGAGAGTAGAGGAAAATAGATTCCATCAATTTTGATTAGATTCAATGTGAAAGAAAAGGAAAGAAAACATTGAAAATGTTATTCAAATGATGGACTCCACTTTTCTCCGTCTATTTTTTCCTCCACCACCCTTCCCTTCCAA